CTAGTTTTGTAACTGGGGATAAATCTATATCTATCTACGGGTGTATGACACAATACTACTTCTTTGGTTTTTTAGTATCCACTGAATGTTATCTTCTGGCAATGATGTCTTATGATCGATATTTAGCAATCTGCAAACCTCTGCATTATGCATCTGTCATGAATGGTAAACTCTGTCTCCAGTTAGCTCTCACATCTTGGATGAGTGGTTTGTTGACCAGCACTATCATAATAGCTTTTCTTGTACAGTTAACTTTTTGTGGACCCAGTGAAATTGACCATTTCTTTTGTGATGTGAATCCAGTGGCAAATATTTCCTGCAGCAATACACACTTTGTGAAGCTTGTTACATTTGTTACAGGATCCATGGGTATAGGGACCACATTTATCCTAACAATGATCTCCTACATCTGTATAATTTATACTGTGTTCCAAATGAAATCTAAAAAAGCACAACAGAAGGCCTTCTCTACCTGTTCATCTCATCTCACTGTAGTTTCATTTTTCTTCCTTTCACTATTGCTTGTCTATGTTGTCCCTGAAACAGAAAGACTGAAGGAGCTACATAAGATCTTTTCCCTGTTCTACACTGTCCTGCCTCCAATGGTCAACCCCATCATCTACAGTTTAAGAAACAGGGAAGTGAAGGAAGCCTTCTTTAAAACTTTTAGAAAAAATATCAGTAGTCTTTTATAACAACATAACTTTTCAATTACTGTGGTAAAGTAGAATTAAAGATGGGGTATATATAACAGCTTTGGTGCTACAGAGATTAATGTCGTCAAAGTACCCTCATTTCATACATGATTCTTTACCTTACTTTACCGTAGATACTATTTTAATATTTAATATATCTGACATCACTTGTTTTCAAAACAGTTCCAAGACCTTCATAGTCCTAATATAAATGTGATAATTAGTTTCAAAAATGTCCATTCTAGCCATCCATACAAAAGTGCCCTCATAAGGGTCATTATGAGAGTGTTAAAAATATTTGGCCACATGTTATTGTAGTAACAGTTTCAGTGGTGGGATTCAATTTTTTTTTACTGCCGATTCTGTGGGCATGGCTTGGTGGGCGTGGCAGGGGAAGGATACTGTAAAATCTGCAGTAAGAGGTGGTATTTACCAGTTCTCCAAACTACTCAAAATTTCCTCTAGCAGTTCTCCAGAACTGGTCAGAACCTGCTGAATAGCACCTCTGATCAGTTTATGTCTTCGGTCTGACTTAAGCATGGTATATAAAATCATACATTGCAATGTCCTACCTGTCAATGAATACTTCAGCTTCAACCATAACAACACAAGAGCACACAATAGATACAAACTCAAAGTAAACCGCACCAAACTTGATTGCAGGAAATACGACTTCAGCAATAGAGTGGTCAATGTCTGGAATACTCTACCCGACTCTGTAGTTTCTTCCCCAAACCCCAAAAACTTTAACCTTAGACTGTCTACTATTGACCTCACCCCTTTCCTAAGAGGTCTGTAGGGGGCGTGCATAAGCGCACCAACGTGCCTACCGTCCCTGTCCTATTGTTTCTCCTGTTCTTTTGTTTTTCTTATATGTACCCATTTCATGTATTCACAACTATGTATACATTTATACTTGTTATCTTGTAGACAATTGGCAAATCAAATAAATAAATAAATAAATAAATAAATAAATAAATAAATATATTTTTATTACTACTATTGTGATATTGCTTTGTTGTTTTCTGTATCATTTTATGTTGTAGGGCAGTGTTCTAGGACCAACTCTCTTCATACTCTACATAAACGACCTCTGTGATCATATTAAGAGCAATTGCGTTCTCTTCGCTGATGATGTAAAGCTGTTCAATACCACAGACAATACTGCTACCCTACAAAAAGATCTTGACTATGTATCTGAATGGTCAAACAAATGGCAACTTCAAATCTCAACAAATAAATGCTCTGTCTTACATATTGGCAAAAAAAATCAGAAAATAAAATACAAGCTGAATAGTCAAGATCTTGTTGATGACCCAAGCTCTGTAAAGGACCTTGGAATACTCACCTCTAATGATCTAAGTGCTAGAGCCCACTGCAACTACATAGCCAAAAAGGCATTAAGAGTTGTTAACCTAATCCTACGTAGTTTTTTCTCTGGTAATATCACACTACTAACCAGAGCATACAAAACATTTGCTAGACCAATACTCGAATACAGTTCATCAGTCTGGAACCCTCATTACGTATCTGATATTAGCACAATTGAGAAAGTCCAGAAATATTTCACAAGAAGAGTTCTCCACTCTTCTACTCGTTGTAGAATACCTTATGCCACCAGACTTGAAATTCTAAAACTAGAAAACCTTGAATTACGCCGTCTTCGGTCTGACTTAAGCATGGTATATAAAATCATACATTGCAATGTCCTACCTGTCAA